AAAAAAAAAAAAGGTACACGTGTATTAAACAAAAATATTCATAATAAAATTAAAAGAAAGGAATTTAAAATAATAATACTTCTCTTAAATAAAAAATTATATTTTTTTTTTAAGTCAAATGATAAATTAATTTTTAATCAGTAAATTTACCACAACATTTTTTCTCTAACCTACAGCAAATTCCCAACTGGAGAGTCGTCGACAATGGCTACGAACGAAGGATTGAAAGAAGATGAAGAAGAATTTGTGTACAGGATCAGCACTGCCGCGGAGTGGGCAGAGCTCCAGTCTACCGGCGCTACATTTGGCGGAGATCTCGATAAGTCCACCGCCTGTTTCCACCTCAGCAAGCTCGATCAGGTCTTGCCCGATTCCCCTTCTCAACAAGTCCACGCTTGTTTCCGCCATTGTTGAATTCATCTTATAGTACTTCTACTGCTGATTGTAATAACTATTATCTATGAGGAAGTGTTTTTTGTGCTTTTAATTTCCATGAGTGATTAGCTAGCTCCTCAGATCGATCGTCTCCATTGTAGACTGTTTGAATAGTGATGACTTCTGCATGTATGGTGTATTTTCAAATATTGTGTGATTTTTATGTATAGTAAACTATGCTTTAAGTTAGCTCTGCAAGTCACAGGATGAAATTTGTCAGTCCTGAACTTAGTAATCCAAATTTTAAGTTGTAGTATCCAATTTGAAGTGACTGTGTTTGCTGTACTGCCTGGTTTCTCGTCGAAGCCCATTCTGTTGAAGAGAGTAGTATAGACTGAAGTTTACTCAAATTTTTTATTGAGTCTCATCCATTTGAGTATAAGCACTTATATGTCCATAAAATTATGTACATGTGGCATTATTCCCAAAACAATACAATTAATGAACTTATGATATCCATTAAGGGCTCATCTACTTATCTTGACGAGTTCGGATAGTTTTGGCATGGTGTTGGATATCGCTGTTTATGTAGTGTGTTTGTTTGTTTGGATCCAGCTGATTGTACTTTTGTTGTAGATAAATGGCTATGGTGTTCAGATCAATAAATTCGGTTGTATTGTTTTAGTGTTGATGACTTTATGGTTTATGCATGTATGGTGTGTTTTCACATAGTATTTGATCTGATATGTGATAAATCATACTTTAAGGTGGCCGTATCTATAGTATTTTTGCCCTGGTGGATTTCTCTATCGTTTACTAAAAGTATAAGGATTGCTTTGTAGCACTTCAGAGCCACTGGTCAACATTTTTCAGTTTTGAACTCATCAATGCAGACGACACTGATCTGAGATTGAAACCTTTTAGTATAAAATTTGGAAGAATTTTGTTATCATTAATTAGTTTATGTGTTTCTTCTGTCCGATTTTAATGTAGGTAACCGTTGGAAAGATTTATAAAAAAAAAAAAAAAAA